TGCGGCGGCAATTTGAGCTCACCCTGGCACTGCGCAGATCTGTGGCCGGCTGAGCGCACAGGGCCCTGCCTGGCAAAGGCACTTCAGGGAAATGGCTGGAATTTGGCAGCCTTGGTTTGTCCTCTTCATATTCTGCTCTGCCCCCTTAACTCTGCCTCTGGCAGCTCCTAAGAGTTTCCCAGCCTGGGCCAGCGCCCGGAGTGCCCCAGCGGGCTCTCACAGGAGGAGGCCAAGCCCCTGTGCAAGCCAGGCCTTGGCCTGGGGCCTGCTGCATCTCACCGCTCCCTGCCCCATCCCTTCCAGGTTTCTCCATGTTTGGGGCTGGTCTGACCGTGGGCCTCTCCAACCTGTTCTGCGGGGTGTGCGTGGGCATTGTGGGCAGCGGGGCTGCACTGGCCGACGCCCAGAACGCCAGCCTCTTCGTCAAGATCCTGATCGTGGAGATCTTCGGCAGCGCCATCGGGCTCTTCGGGGTCATAGTCGCCATCCTGCAGGTACCGGCTCCTGCCCCGCTGGGCCCAGCGTGCTCCTGGGGCCCCCAGCCCCACATCAGCCCCAGGTGTGGGCTGCCCAGCTCATCAGACAGGCCTAGGTGTCTGCAGAGCCTCAGTGTCCCAAGGGGGGTGATGGGAGGGGTGCAGCCACTGCTCTCTGGTGAACAGAGAAGCCCACCCAGGGGACGCGGGCGGGGAAATGATGCAGCGGCTCCATGTGATGGCACCATCTGGCCTGGCTGCTGGAACCCATCTTGGCAGTGCCAGCCTCTTCCCCCCCCCCCCCCTCAGCAGCCACAGGGAATAGTTTGACTGGGCACCGGAATCGGAGCGGTTTGTGCCCAGGGCTGATTGGGGAGGAGCAGCCCGTGGGTCCTGCAGCTTCAGCCAGGCTGCCTGGTCAGGGCAGTTGGGGGGCACTTGGCAGGGTGTGCTCCTGGGAGGGGCTCGGGGCGTGCTCTGACCCGTCTCCTTTCTCTCTGCAGACATCTAAAGTAAAAATGGGGGACTGAGCCCCTGCCCGTTCCGGCCTGGCCCCCTGCGGGCGCGACTGTACATATTTATTTAATGTTTCTATTTCCTGATCGGGGGCGTCGCTTCGCCGCGTCGGGAGCGGGAGCCCAGGTGTATAGAACCGTCCCTGCTGATCCGCCGCCCGCTGGCCCCATGGAAGAAATAATCATCTGTGTGTGAATTCGGCTCCCTCCTGTCGGCCCAGCCAGCCGGAGGGGGGGCGGGGGGGGGCAGGGTTGCTGCCTGAGTGTTCCCGGTGTGTGTACAAATCAATTGACCAGTGTAAGTCAGTGTCACGTGAAATAAACATGGTTCCTGTCCCTGCCTGCTGCATTCTGTCTGTGCCATGCACTCCCATACTGCGCTCAGGGCATGCTGGGGCACTGCCAGCCCTGCGTGGCCACGGGGACATGGCATTGAGCATGGCACTGGTGTTCCCAGTGCTCTCTTCCAGCAGTGGCCGGGCTAGCCCAGATCTAGCTCAGAACTGGCTGGATGTTGCTGTGAGCTCGCTCTTTCAGGCAGGCGCCCGGGACTGT